CAAAAAAAAAAACCCCCAAAACAAAACAAAAATGTAATCTTTTCACTTACAAGAAACAAAACAGAACACATAAAGATCAGTCTTCTTCACCAACTCAGACATCTGGCAGTTCTCTCAGTGTCTCTGCAGTCTGTCTGAACGTTATCAGTGGGATGTCTTCACGCTTGTGGTTACCGTTGTACCCACAGACACACACGCACACACTGTAAAAACCAAGTGTGAAAAAGGCAGCGCTGCCATCAGGGGTCCGCTTTTTTCCTGTTACGCGATATCAGCCAGGTAATGCTAAATATCCAGGAAAACGACATCCAAAACTAAGCGACTCGTCCCCGTGTGATGTTTGTGTGTTCAGTCCACGTGGGCAAACCAAGCTGTGACCGCCCGTCCAGTGTTTGTACTCAGTCTCAACAGGGCCCGTCACATATACGTACAGTCCGTGTCCCTCTCTGCTGCATGATCTCCACATTCTTACTTTAGAGGAGGTTTACATCTTTTTTCTCCCTTTCTTTCTTTTTTCTTTCTTTTTTGCAGTTTTGTTTCAGTTGCTCTTCTTCTCAAAACAGGTTCTCCTCAAAGATAGCCATTAAGTCACTTTGGAAATTCATGTCAATAGTCGCTGCCATCTGTAGAGAGAGAAGAGAACAGCCATTATTGTTTATGTTCAAACAGTTCACTACCTTTTGTTTTACATAGCTCAAGACCCCCACAGATCCCAGAAGGGTTAAACCTAGAGAAATCATCTCACCGCTTCCCGCCTCCTTCTCTCTTGCTCTCGGAGGCGGGCCCTCTCTCTCTCTTGGTCTAACTGGTTCTGTGTGGTGAGCTGAGGCGGTGTGGGAGGTTGAGGAGGCTGCTGAATGGCGGGAGGCTGGGACTCCTGCTGCACCGACTGCTGCTGCTGCTGCTGTTGCTGCTGCTGATGTTGTTGTTGTGACGGGGCTTGAATGTGTGGCTGCTCAAGACGTCTGCGAGGCTCATCGTGCATCCTTCTGCTTTGCTCCATGACCTCCTCTTCATCCCGACCTCTGGAAAGCAGAGCAACAGCAATCAGTCAAACGCTCAGCATGTTGCTGAAGGGGGTTCATGGCTACATAATCGATGTCCTCACATATACATGTGGTGCCCTGCTGGGCCTCACACAGGACACTTAAAGCCCACAAAAACAGGATCATCACAAAGATTACTACAAAAATATATTTATTTTTAAAAAGAGGGTGTTAGGACCCTTATTATTTACTGGACTATTCCTAATTCATGAGCAGTTCAACATCTACAATAGATGAAAAATTAAAAGCTCGTTCAGTGGCCTCTTGCATGAAAAACATCAGACAGAAGTGGAGGGTCGACAGGCTCATGATTAATGATATTCCATGATAACCTTGTCAGATCTGATCATTTTTAAATCAATTTCCTCTGCTACTGTTCCCTTTCAGTACACTTTAATCTCTGTGGCTGGTGCAGTCACAGAATATGACCACAAGAGGGCATACGATATCTTTAAATCCAGGAATTCACACTGTGTATTAAACATCAAGCAGCTCAAACAGATATTTGCAGTCATTCAAATTCATTGAATGACTACACATTGCTATACACAGTTAACTATAATATACTTTATATTATTCTGTCATGACTTTTTCAAGCAGATATACAATAAATACGGGACACGAATCTCCTCAATCACTGCTGCTTTTTGCCCCTTTTGTATTTGTTACTGACGATCTCACCGTAGTTTGTCTTGCTCTCTGCGTAGCCTGTCTTTTTCTGCCTGCTCAGCTTGGGCCTTCAGGGCCTTCTCCCTCTCCTCTTTCTCCCGAGCAGCACGACGGAATTGTTCAAAACTGTCACTCGAGGATTTCACTGCCGATAAGGGCGTAGACGTGGATTTTTGTGCCAAACTGGCCCACGAGCCCATATTCTTCAGTTTCACATCCTGAGGAACAGACACAGAGAGATCAAATCAAAAATTCTGGTAGGTGGAATCCTTTTGGGCTACAATCAGATGTATATAGAGGTATGAGTTACTTTTATAAACTGACTCTTGCACCCACCTGTACCTTTTTGGGGGCAGAAGGAGCCTTGGACTCCTGCTTGAACTTCTCCTTATCTTGCAAAGAGGTGGGTGGCCCACTGGGCTCAGCGGAGCGGATGACAGGTCGCGAGCCTTCCATGGACTTCACATCTGCTCAACACAAGAAGAATCAATATCCTGCACAGTTTCTTAATTCTTAATTTCATTTTGGGGGGAAAACATTAAGGAGAAGTAGTTAGGGAGCTCTTACTCTGTTGGCTGTGGCTTGGTTGACAAGGCTTGCTCTCAGGATGTTTATGATGATCTGGTCTCATTGCAGGATTAAATGGCTCCCCTCTCATCACTGGTGATGGAGGAAGTTTCTCCTCTTTTAACACACCTTGGGTCCCAGGGGCCCTTTGCTGCATGGCAATCAAATTGAATCAAAGTCAGACCTTATTCGAGCCTCGAACTCTGCCTCAGTTAAAAACAGTTGCCAACCTGACAGAAATGTTCTCACCTTTTTAGGCTGCATGTTGTGAGGCGGAGACTGGTGCGACACAGGTGGATACTGGGGAAGTTGGGGAGAATTCATCATGAGAGGGGATGGGTTGTCTCTCATATGACCTGTAAACAGTAGAAAGGGAAATAAGATGTCTGCAAACATGATTCATTTGGGAAAAAAAAAAATCCAGGTAACAAAATATTTCTGTCCTATTTCATTCGACCAACCTGTGTTATAAGGGTCAGGCTTGGTCGGGCGAGGGGAGGGCTGCTCTTGCTGCTGCTGGATAATCTGTTGTGTTTTATTGGTGGGCATGGACGCTTTGTGTTGTGTTCCCTGGGACTGAGGAGGGAGTATGGGACAATGTTGGTAGTTCACTTGCTGCTGTTGTGGTTGCTGTTGTTGCTGCTGAGTATGTTGCATGTGGCGGGCCTGGTGTAAGGGCATCTGTTGGGACAGCGTCTGATGTGACGGGGCTGACTGAGCCTGGGACTGAACAGGGTGCTGGGCAGGAGCCAAGGTAGTCTGAGACGAAAGCTGAGATTGTGTCTGAACAGACTGCAGGAGTGAAGTCTGTACTGGTTGTTGCTGCTGCTGACGAGCCTGCTGGGTCTGACGCGGTTGCTGAAACTGCGGTAGGAATAACTGGTTAATTGGCGTTGTAGACACTGGCTCTTCATCATCCTCCAGCAGCATCTGGGGTGGCTGAGAAGACAACAAGCCTTGGGGTGTGAGTGTTGGGGGGGATATAGGCCGCTGGTGCAGAGGCTGAGTAGAGTGAAGAATCTGTGAGGGGAGTTGGTGCTGTTGTGGCGGTGGTGGTGGTGGTGCTGTTGGCTGGGGCTGAGGCAGAGGCTGAGGCTGGAGCTGGAGCTGCTGCAGAGGTGGCTGTTGCTGCAGAGGTGGCTGCTGCTGTTGCTGCGGCTGCTGAGGTGGCGCTGGTTGCTGAGGGGGTTTGGGATGAAGAGGGGCTGCCTTGTGACTGGGCCGAGAAGGCTGCTGAGGCATGGAACTGTGTAAGGCTAAGGGTAGAAGACGCAAAACTTTATTAGCGTGAATTTGTTGGCAAAAATACAACTTTTAGTATATGTGCTCTATTGGAACATAGGTTTAATAGAAAAAAAGTGAACTAGTGGTCATTTTGTAACCTGCATTACAACTGTAGGATTCCGTAGAGGAGAAATGCAGTTGTAGCTTCAAAAGCAATAGCAACCTAGATAGTTATCAGGACTAGAGTCATCAAACAATTGGCTTCTACATAAAACCTTACCTGGAGATGGGAGGACGGAATGCTGGTTGAGGAAAGGATGTGTCTCAGGGGACACTGGCCCAGCAGAATGAGTGTTGAGGTGAGAAGGTGCAGGTGACGAGGACGCGTTGCCTGTGTGGTGGGACATGTGCATGATGGGCTGACCAAAAGGTGGGAGGGAGTCAAAGCTCGTCTCCAGTAACTGAGAAGACTCGAGAGGAGCAACAGGGGGCGCCATGAAGCCTGCAGGAGATGGCTGGTGGTGGTGATGGTGCTGCTGTTGCTTCATCTGACTGCTGGACTGAAGGCCTGCAGCTTGAGACTGATGTGTAGCCTGAGCGGGTAGAGTCTGAATATGAGAATGTGTCTTCCCCTTCCCCTCCTTTACAGCATGGTTCTTCTTTTTCGGCTGTTTTATCGTTCCTGGGAAAATAAACATGTACAAACATAAACATTATGTAAATGTTTACATTTACATAATGTAAATCTGAATGCTCATATCTGGAGTAACTCACCTGGCACCTCCACTTCACTGTCTGAGCTGGAGCCACTGCTGTCTGAAGAAGATCCGGTCTTTTTAGAGGTAGCCATGGGCTCCATAGTCTTATCAACTACAAAACAATACACACGTTCATACATTTCCTGATTTCATAGTGATAGTAAATGGCATAATTCTGAATGTTTTCTGTCAAGACTAAGTTTTTTTTTTTTTTAAATAGATTTGGAGTTGGTTCCGATGTTTGTTTTTACTATAATTCATACACTGGCTTACCTGAAACCCTTTTCTTCTTGCGGAGGCAGGAAGACACATATCTCTCTAGTTCACGCAGAGTGGAAGGCTTTAGTGTCTCAAAGTCAATCTCAATCTCATCAGGGTTTGAATTTTTGAGTGAGGGCTCTCTGGACTGGATAATGTGTACTACACGGCCAAGCTTGTCACCAGGAAGCTTGTTGATGTCCAGGCTTAGCTGCCTCTTCTCCTCATAGGTCATAGGTTTGCACTTTTCCCCTGTAACTGATGACCCAGTGGCTCCCAGGTCATCTTCCAGACTAGGAACAGGCTGCAAGCTGGCAGGTTTCATCGTCTCCTTTTTGCTACAGAGGCAAAACACAAAAATTTACCAATGCTGACTAAGCTCTAGTAAATCAGTCACCTTTTCGAAATGGTAAAAACAGAAAATACATACCTACAGCTAATCAGTTACAGCTGGAGACTAAAACTCTTAACATGAATAAAACTGTCCACTCAAAGTTACCTAATAAGCTGGATTACAACAATCAACAATTAAGACTCATAATTTATAAGAAGATAAACTATGTAATAAATGTCATAGGATAACCAAGCCTCTTGGCATTTATTGAAAACATAACAATAAGCTGTATATAAAATGAAGAAAGGGTAATTAACAGATTGTGAAATGTCTGGCTGACTGCTTTATAAAGGTTTTGTTCAAGCTTTAGGAGACCGCTTAATACCCACCTGGGTTTCTTCTTGGGAACAATCTCTTTGTTGTTATTGTTACTGGTCTTAATCTTCTTAGACGGCTGCGAAAGAGGTGTAGCATCCTGGATCTCATCGACAGGCATGCTTCCTTTCCTTTTATGCTTATCCTTTTTCTTCTCTTTCTTTTCCTTTTCTTTTCTCTTTGGTTTGCTGGCTTGTGGTTGGGAGAGGGCAGCCAGCTGCTCGTGGACAGCCTTCAACTGCATACAGAAATTAGATCAGTTGTCAACAAAAGTTTTCAGGGTGTGGACAACAACTCAACTGAATTTTCTTAGACAACCGACCTGTTCCTGTAACTCTGCCAACCTCTGGGCTCTTTCCTCTTCAGAGTCATCAGTGGAAGACTCAGACTCAGAGGATGAGTCACTGGAGCTGTCCGAAGATGAGGCGACGTGGGCCAGAGGAGGCTGAGGCTTAACAGGGGCAGGGTGATGAAGTGCAGGAGCTGGGGCAGAAACTAAAGGCTTGCTCTCTGGTTCATCTGGCATCTTGGCAAAGCGCATTTCAAAAACATCCTACAAATGAAAAGAAGCAAGCATACTATCAAAATTGGCGTTTTACACACACATACATTAGTTGGGCAGGATACTAACATATTAATGACTTCTGCTCCCTGTTCAACTGCAGCATGTGAGACTTGATGATTTATTGCAGTGTTATTTTTTATTTGCTTTTTTTTTTTGCAGAGGAGCCCTGTATAAACTAGCAAATAAATCAAATAATTCCAAAACAAAAAATTAAATTCAGTAGAATGCAATCAGAGATCAGAACGGCAGCAAAACAGCCTCCCCTTATATTGGATACTTTAAGGCTAGTAAAACTCTACATTGATCAACTTTTTGCCTTGCATCTTTTTAAAAAATGTAACAATAGCATGTACGTACCTGTAGTTTGCGAGCCATGGCTACCACCTCATGGTCTGGAGGATTATATTTGTAGCAGTTGGAAAACATTAATCGCACATCAGCAGCAAACTCCTGGGGATCCCGGTATTGCCTGTTCTCCAGCTTGGCCTATTAAATACATCAAGGGTATTAATTACTTGCCATCAAAAAATGCCCCCTGTTTAGTTTCTCTGAAAATATGTGTTTTCTGCACACCTTAATGGTGCTGAGGTCCATTGGATGTTTGATGATATCATGATAATCATGTAGTCCCAGTGCATCCACATCAACTGGTTTGTAGAATGGCCAGGCATAAGCAGCATGTTTCTTGGACAGCATCTCTCTAACCAGACTGGCGCAATACCCCAGCTGGTCCTGTGGTTTGGGGCTATGACCTCCACTCGGTCCGCTTAGTCCCATCCCCAAGCCTATGTGATGCTGAGAGTCTGGAGCGTCCTTTTTAATCTTCGTAGGCCGTGCGCTCTCTCGCCTGGGTAGTGTCTTCCCAGACTTAGATTCTGCTGGCGATGACTCACTCAGCTGGTCATTTGCAGTAGGCGTTGTAGTGTCTGCTTTCCTTTTTTGGCTCTTTCTTGGCTGGATAGCAGTAAAACAAGAAAGGGAATTAAGCAGTTATTATATCTTATCTACATATGTCTGATCCAAGCATGGTCAAAGATGAGTCTTCATGCCCAAACATTCATCCATTTGTCAAGTACACTCACTTTGGTCATGGTCATGGAGGTCTGCAGCATGGGGGCAGTGCTCTGGATTGTTGCTGGGGGAAGAGAAGTCTGGGAAGGGGGAGGCACAGAAGTCATTACAGGAACTTGAGGTGGGCAGTCTGACTGACCCAGGGAGAATGGCGCTCCGAGCTGTGGTGCATGGCTGGATAACGCTGGGGGCACATGGCCTGCCAGGGCCTGCATCAAAGGCTGGGGAGGTAGTGAAGGCGGACCCTGCACTGGTCCTCGAGTTTGGAGCCCTGTTGGGAGGGCTGATAGGCCACGTGTTTGAGGAGTTGTTGACAAAGGATCCATAATGGCCCCGGGTTTCAAGTTTAGACCTGGATGTGAAAGAACAAAACGGTTGTTTTCTCATGAAAGTTTTAGATTAAAAGCTCTTCTTGCATATAGAATCAGAAACAAATATCAGAGTTTTGCACACTCTCTCTGGTCTCTATAATAATGTAGACCAAAGAAATGCCTATCCATGTGCACACCGAAATGTGCAGCCACACTGAAGTCAAATAGGGGTAACATGATTACTCAGAGGAAAGAAAAATGTTGATTCATTGAGTGCCTTTTTAAAAGGTGCATTTTCTCAATCCTTTAATATAACTCAACTGAAATAAATAAATAAAGAACCCTAAATATACAATCTTAAAGAGGAAAAACTAGGAATACATGCTAACTGGTAGAAATTAATTTTAGAGACCCATACCTCCCTCTCTCCGGCCTCGGCCACGTCCCTTTCCTGTCATGACAACAATCTCAGTTTCTTCCTGTGGCATTTCTGAGACTTTCTGGAGGAAAACCTTCTCTAGAGCCTCAGCCATTAACACTATATCATCGCCAGGCTGCAAAGGGAGAAATACAGTCTTAGTTCAAGTGGAACAACTTCAGAATTATTGCAATGTTATATTGATAAGGCTCTGTTGTACAACTATGTACCTTGTTGTATATGTAGCAATTGGTAAACATCGTGTTGAAGTCTTGGATACATTCTTGGGCATTCCAGTAGTAACTGTTCTCAAGCCTTTTCTTGATTGTTCCCATGTCCATAGGGGTTTTGATTATTGTGTAGTAGTCCTGAAATGGTTACAAATAAGTTGGTCAGAAAAAACTCAAGTGGAAACTCTTCAATGCAATCTGGTTCTTTACTAAAGTGAACCCCTTAACACCTCCTGTATTATATTTGGCACTTTTATATCATCATTGTCAGCCCCATCACGAAAAACCAAAATAAATTGCACAAACAAAAAAAATTTATTTAACTAATTTTAAAAAATGTCAGAAGGTTCAATAAATGTTCAATTTCTGGCAAACATTTCATTATTGTGGCTTGAGAGATGACTGATAATTAATAATAATAATAATAATAATAATAATAATAATAATAATAATAATAATAATAATAATAATGGATTGGATTTTATATAGCGAGATGCATATCATTAAACATGATTACTCAGGGCTTGGAAAAAATGTGGATTCATTAAACTTAAAAAAAGAAATGGCTTTTCAATTGGATGATAAATGTAATTAGATTGAAAAACAAAATAAATAAATCAACTTAAATGAGTCTGCCACAGTTTTCTGGGGACTAAATTTAGATCTTTATAGAGGTGCAAAAGGAGAGTGGTGTGCTGAAAGGCAAAGCAAAAGAATAGCATACAACACAGTAACTGTTTAATCCCAGTTATCTTGCTCTGATTGTTTTGTGGAAGCCAAAATTGTAAATTAAATTTAAATTCCATTAACTACAGATTATAACAGCTGAGGATGATATAATGTGCGTGTGTCTAATATGACTTCATACTGTGCAATGACAAATGCAACAATCTAAATGATAAAATAGAAATAGAAAAAAGAGCCCTGCTATTCTCAATCTTGCATATACATGCAGAGAACAGCTCTAGTCAGTTTGCCTGCATTTATAAATCATAAAAAAGTACAAATAAGTAAATACAGGACATTAGATTGTGTAGAAGCTGGGCTGATCTATGAGACATCTACTCGGTCCATGAAATCTTAGAGAAATCAAGCATTTTATGTTAAAACAAAGCTTACAGGCAGGTTGAGTTTCAATGCATCCACTGGTGCATGAAAAGGCCAGGCAAACTGGTGCTTCCACAGGGTTTTCACAACCACTTTCAGCAGGTACTGTAGCTGATTGGTCTGGCGCTTTGGCCTGTTGGGATTGATGTATTCTGGGGGTGGGGGGTTACACTGTTGCTGAACCTGCCCCTGGCTGCTGCTGCTGCCCGACATCTGCGCTGTGTCCAGGCCGTCACCCATTCTGATAAGGCAGGACCTGGGCTCGGGCCCTGGAGCTGAAGCAGGGGCAGGGGTAGAGGTAGTGGTGTTGGCAGGACACCAGTTTAATCTTGGCCCCGGCACAGACTCCACTGACAGAGCACTGCTGATCCCATTGCACTCCTCACTGGACTCTCTAAAAACAGAAAAGAAGAGTAATTAGCAAAACTATAAACAAAGTCTTTGCTAAACTAATGATTTTTGTTACACAGCCAATAACATTTTACATTTCAACGCAAAGTTTAGTTAGACCCCTTATACCATGTTTACAATCAAATAAATAAAATAGCTGCAAGGCTAGTGGTATACCGGCCATTTAATCACAACACAATGAGTTAGTTTCTTCTATCAGTTGAAAAAATGTCCACTTTGTCAGCTCTGATTGTGAGTAGAGGATGAAACATGCACTGTAATGTTTACACAGTCATATTAAAAATAAGACAAAGTTCCCAGTGATGATTTCATTCAGAAAATCTGGCCTTGAACCAGAACACACTGTTGGCGGGGTGAATTTTTTAAAGATCCTTCATAACTGAATATGTTAAATACTTTATCTACTTTGGTATAATAGGGAAGAATTAGTATTAACTGTAATTAAATGCTATGACAGACTTGGTAACATGGAAAAAAGCAAAAGTAGTAACTGGTGTTGCAGATGTACATTAAACTGAAGCTCTCCCTGGCTTCCAGTCTTTGTTATATAGATACTTTTGGCTAGTTTAAATGTACAAATGATTACAGAATTATAAAAGCCTTCAAAGTAAGACTACACAATCCTCATATTTAAATAGACTGTGAAACGCACAGTTCAACCCTGAAATGCAGAAGGTTTGCCTTCAAAGTATTGCAACAATGTTTCAAAACTTTTACTTTAATTTCTGGTTCGTGTCACAATTTTTCACAAGTTGTGCTACCACTCAGCAAGCAGTTAGCAAGTATTTACAGACAAAAATTAATAACAACAGCCAACTGTGGAAGTCTTCTGGCTACCAAAGCAATTATTCAGTTTTCTTTGCATTCTTTGCAACCCAGCAACAATTAGAAAACTCCAAGAAGCATTGCCAGCAATGCATGTTTTTCCTTAGCAAAGAGTGGTTGTATCGTGTCCAATATGGCAGACATTCTTAAGCCATCTTCTAATGTTGTCAGGATATATAAATCTCATATGAACTAACGTCGTTAAAAAGTAATAATAAACAAATGTTAGAAGTACCCTTCCTTTAACTTAATGGTATCATCTTATTAAGCTACACCATATGATTGTTACAAATGCATATACAGTTTAATATGGATTTGCACCCTTCCTTATCCCGTACCACCATCAGAATCAGAATACTTTATTGATCCCTGGGGGAAATTATTTAAAAATACAAGTCACCATCCACACATGGTGAGGGGACGGGTTGTGACTAGAGTTTTGTCCAATGTGAGAGTTACTGTGATATTATACTCTGATCTACGGGTACTGTTCACAGTAATACTGGAATAATGTTAGGCAATGATAAGAAAATGAAATATCGCGATAGAATATGGGTAAACGCGCATGTGCAGTGCCTTTGTTTTAATACGCGCATGGTGGAAAAAGCATGGCGGCAACGGAGAATGAGAAGGGCGAAAGCGGATCGTTGAATGAAACAGATGAACCAAAAATGGTGCAACTTCAGTGGTATGGAACTGGTTTGGCTTTCGTCCATCAGATACACACCAAAGCACATTTTTTGGTAGAGCATGCAAGCAGGCCGTTTTTATTACCAAACTGTTTTTATGTGGTACATGCTGCTCAAAAATCTGTCAAAAAATGTTTTAGTACGACTTTGCTAAGCTACGAAGCCGCACCGCTTGATGGATTGTTGGAGCATTATGGCTACCGTAGTCAGGAACCTCGCGGAATGATACGTACTGTGCTTCAACATAATATTACCGTATTGTGTGTGGATAACCTCTTTTTAAATTTTGTGGATATCCTGAGCATAACCATGTATAATATGTCGGCCAGTTTCCACTGGAAATGCCTTTTGGTTAAACTGTCAGCAAGAAATTTGCATTTGCACATGTTTATATAACTTTAAAGCAGATAAAACAGCTGCTTGTTTAAGTGAAAATACATTGATGGTTTTTTTTTTTTGCACTAATAAAGTTGCGGAGTTGTAAAGTATTTTGTCTTGCATCAATTAAATCGGCAGTTATATCGTTATTGCAAATTTTCAAATGTATATCGTGATAAATATTTTTGGCCATATTGCCCTGCCCTACTCTGAACTACCCAGACACAGAAAATTGCACCTTTTTAACCTGGCACAGTTCTTGCCTTTTCTTTTGCTCTATTATTTTCTCACTTTTCTTTGTATCTATTTTTGAGGTAGATAAGTAAATTGTCCCTGACTATATGTAACCATGGCAGCAACAGACGTAATGTAAAATACACCTAGATCTGCAAATCATTGACTAATCTACTGGGGATTTTGTCAGCATAAGAATTGACCACATGATTTAATTTCCTTTATGGTTTCAAACTGTTAGTTCAGTGAGTATTATGACATAGTTCCACCAACTCACAAATTTTCCTCTCGACCGAAAGAAGAAACACTACTCAAATGAAAACCAAAAACGAACTGTCTGAATTTTACCATAACAGTTTCTCTATCTGTTAATAGAAATGTTATTTCCAAAAAGATATCACAATCAGATGCATTAACTCATGATTGATCATAGAAAGTGTATATTATGGCGTACTATATAAAATAAGAACAGTCTACTGATGTGAATTCAATAAAAATCATAAACTGTTTCAGTTTTGTTTTTGTGTGTGTGTTGTTGTTGTTGTTGTAGTAGATCTTTTGTTCCCACTCTGTCTCAAGACCTGGGAGTGCTTTTGGATGTGAGTGGGCAGGGGTGGAGAGTAGAGGAGAATTAGCGTCATCTGGCAGCCGAGGGACTGTGTGTTCCACCGCACGCTCAGTCCTACATAATGTACTCTCTCCCAGGCAGTCAGGGACATTACATTCAAATTACACACAAAGGCTGTTAAGACAACAGTCCAACTAAAAACCAATCTAGACTAACAGAGTAAAAATACAACAGCAGCAGTATTCTGGGGGAAAAATACTGATCATCAGATTGTGTATTCAAGCTTTCCAGTCTGATACTCTGAAATCCGCCTTCAAAGATAAACACATGCACACACACAACTATATGGATCTGTGACTAATCTCATTCTTGGTGAGTCACTTTCTGAGAAGGAGGAAGCAGTTTGCACACCACATGATCACTGTGTTGCGCCCCCCCCCAGAGGCACTAAAGCACAGTGGAGAATCTGAATAACTGCCAATATGTTGAATGACCACAACCAATAACACATAAAAAAGAAGCAGTTCTGGTCCAGGTGATATGGTACATTTGTAGCTGGAGGCAAAAGTACCATACCCTGTGAATAAGACTAAATAAAAACAAATTTAAAATAAACAAAGCCACAGAACTTGTCTAGACTCAGCACACCGATGTGCAAATCAAGCTAAGCAGGGATTAATTTACTAAACACTAAAATACAATTTGTTTGTCAAATGATCAAAAATAACATGAAAGGTTGTGGTAGACAATACACGATAAAACATTATATCACAATATTCAAGGTCATCTCCAAAAATGACACCTGTGATGATGCAGATACAACTTGTGCACCGCACAACTTGCAGAACACATTTTTGTGTTCTGCTTTAGTGATTGTTGGACAAATCATCCTTTTTGTGCATGATTTCAGTCTATTGACTATCAGATGCCATTCCTGACTAATGATGGAAACCAGAACGAAGATCAAACTTATTGTCATGGATATTTTGTACACCAAAAGCACATGCAAGCTTTTTTTCTGCACTTTCTACACTGTGCTCAGAGAAAATAATGTTGCAATGATGCTGAAAACCTTTGGAGACCTCTCTCGCCTCTCTTCCCCCAAGAAAATTATATGTAAAAGTTTGCAGTTATTACAGCATTATAAATACTGGCATAGTTGTAACGACTATTATGTTGCTTTTTTCAGAATCAGTATTATCTTCAGCTACAGTACACTTTTATGTTTGCATCAGCCTTCATACAATCTCAATCAAAAGTTTAAGACCACTTGAAAAATTGCAAAAAAAAAAAAAAAAAATCATACTTGATGCAAGAGTTTCCATGAGATGAGTGGGAATATTTCTCTAAGTGGTGAAGATGGCCGCACAAAAGGCATCTACTGTCTGGAACTGTTGTTCATTTTTGTAAACTTCCCCTGTCATCCATACCTGAAGGTTCTCAATTAGATTTAGATCAGGGGAACATGCAGAGTGGTCCAAAAGACTGATTTTATTCTCCTTGAAAAAGTCCCTTGTCCTGCAGGCACTGTGTACTGTAGCACTGTTAAAAAAAACCCAGGTGTTATCATACAGACGAGGGCCCTCAGTCATGAGAGATGCTCTCTACAACATTTAGAAATAACCAGCAGCTGTTTGACGGCCCTGCACCACCTGAAGTGCCGTTGTTCCACTGAAGGAAAAAGCACCCCAGACCATGGCGCCCCCTGAAATGTAGGGCGTAGAAAACATCTCAGGTGGAATCTGCTTTTCATGCCAGTAACGTTTGAAATCATCAGGACCATTCAAACGGTCAGTTCTGTGGCGTTCAAGAAGACACGGCCTTTGAAGATATTTTTTGTTTTTGAAGCCCTTCAGTTTCAGGTGCCGTCTGATGGTTATGGGGCTGCAGTCTTTATGGACAGCCAATTAGATCCTCTGGCTCAGTGCTGGCAAAATTTTGGGGGGTCTTCCACTTGACGTTTTTGTTCCATAACCCTTAGGGTCATTTAAGAAATTCCAGTAGACTGTCTTACTGCATCCCAGCTCAGCAGTAATGGCACATTGCGGGAGACCTGGTTTATATAGCTCAAAAACCCGACCACGTTCGAAAAGGGAACATTTGTTTGCTTTTGCCATCAGAACGTCATGACAGTGTGACTACATGACACAAAATGACAATGAAGCCTCATTTTGGCACAGATTTGGCCTTTTAAAGGCATGTGGTCTTAAACTTTTGATCAGCTGTAAAACAGCCTCTCTCAATGTTGTTTTTAATAAATTGCATGCTCAGAAAAATGTTTTGTCTCAC